CCTTATGCAGTTGCGAGCGCCGTAAAACCTCTATTAAAACTTTAAAAAACTAGTGACTGTCTATATGATACCAATCATCGTCAGCAAGTGCCAGATTTGCAACAAAGACGATCATGGTTCTCCGTTCATTCCTTTGCTCGAATGCTTTTTTTTAAAGTCATATTTTCCTTATCTCCCCTGTTCACCCATCTGTTCAGGCTCTCCAAGTCAGTTGCTGTTGGTCAAACTCTGCCTCGTTTGCCATCCATGTTGGCAGTGAGAGCTAGATGTTCAAAGGTCTGATGTACCAAAAATTGTTTGTTTGGTTTTTTCTCAGGTGTTTTCGACTGCGAAAAGGCTAACATCAGATCGTGGGCGAGTTGGCGAGATGGAGGAGAAAAAGATGAGAGTGGCCGTGATAGGAGCTGGCGCTTCTGGACTCGCTGCCATCAAATCCTGTCTTGACGAAGGACTCGAACCCGTTTGCTTTGAGAGGTCGGATCACTTCGGTGGTTTGTGGAGATACAGGTATGTCAGCTGACTCTGAAAGTCGAATGTGAGAACATGGGTTCGGGGAATGGGGGTGAGAAGGTGGGTGGAGTTAGTGTTGGTAACTGGCCTGGGGGTTGGGGATATTGCTTTGTTTCATTCTATGGTCTGCTCTTTTACATGGATTTTTCTTTAAAAAACATTATTTTTAGTTCTAAAAGAATGAAAGTCCGGTCCATATTTTGAGTCAATATTGAGCCTGCAATGTTTCTGTAAGCTTCTCTATTTGCTCGCGATCATTTCAGTAGCCACGCACTAACAAACGTGCCAAAGAAACGAAAGAAACAGAAAAAAATGCAAAAAACGAAAAGTAAAAATAAGAAGAGAAAAATAAGAAAAAGATAAAGCAGAATTTGAATTAAAGCTGGTGAACAGGACAGTAGGTAGTGCTGGCTTCCGTCAAGACAACAGTCCATGCTGCAAGATATCTGGAGGACTGGTCAAGGGGGAGGGAAAAGGGGAGAGGGGAGGGGAGGGAAGAGGGAGATGGGGAAAGGGGATAGGGGAGGGGAGAGGGGAGAGGAGAGAGGAGAGAGGGGGAGAGGGAAGAGGAGAGAGAGAGGGAGAGAGAGAGAGAGAGAGGAGAGGAACAGATATATATATATTGAGGGCTAGAGAGGAAAAAAGAGGTGGGGGAGGGAAGGGTATTCACATAAACATTTTGGATCATGGAATGGTTGTTACATTATATGGGCAAGGAAGGGTGAAGGGTCATAAGTTTGGTGCAAGGAGGGAGAGGGGACGGGGTTAATACACCAATCTCTGGATAAGAAGGGGGAATGGGCGGGGTGGGCTGTTTAGTTACGCAAAACATATTGATACCCATCCAGCGCTTGACTGATTACGAAGTCAAGATTAAGCGAGGTTAAATGAGTCTCTTTCAGGAAAACAGATTACTATCCCGATTCGGCAGGTTGCATTACGAGGTCCAGATGAGGGGAGGTTATCTGAGTTTAGTTCAGGAATTCATAGCAGTATAATCCAGGTTATGCCATGATCTTGACAGGAGGGCCCCCGGGAGGTAGACATGGGATTTTTCAGCAAGGCTGGAAGCGAAATGACTGGAATTTTGAAGATTTAAATAGCCAAATTCTGTTATTGCAAAGAATCATAATCTCGTTTTTTTTTTCGATTTAAAATTTTAAAAAATTAGTTGATAATAATGATAATCTATAATATTATTTTTTAATGGGTGAGATAATAGAATGTAATGATTCTGCGAAACACATCTGCGTAGTCGTTATGAACAGGAGAGACAAACAGAGAGAGAGAGAGACACACAAATAGAGAGAGAGAGAGAGAGAGAGAGCGAAAGAGAGAGAGAGAGAGAGAGAGAGAGAGAGAGAGAGAGAGAGAGAGAGAGAGAGAGAGAGAGAGAGAGACTACTGGAACGGGGATCAGTCTCAAGTCAGTAATTTTGTTGATAATAATTAATATTATTCTGTCATTGCCATATATTCTTTTGCTTTTGTATCTCTGTTGCTAGTTTGGTTTTGGTTTCTTTTGGTTTTTTTTCTTTTTAGACATCCGGGCTTCGTGTTTAGTTTTCTGGAGAAGTGAAAAAAAATGTAACACAACAAACTGGAGGATTATATCAAATCAAAATGATAAAGAGGATATTTTTGGGCGTTTTTCAGAAAAGAGAAACTGTTCGAGCGATTGAGGAGGGGTTGGGGTGGGGGTTGGGTGGGGTGGGAGTGTCAAAGGGGCTTGGCGGAAGCAGGAGAAAATCACTAGCGCAGAAAACAGAAAAAATGAAACAAAATCAGGTAAGACGAGATGCAGATAGGAAACGTTGATATATAGATCTCTATAAAATAAATGAACCCTAAAAGAAAAAATACTATATTATTATATCGGACGTTTGTGCTTTATATCTCAGACGCAGAAAATGTATCAGAGAGAGGAAATGGATTTTCGACACAATATATCCCAGGGGCAGACAACTAGACACATAGTCTGAACATGCATCTTGGGAAAATGTTGTCTCTTTTATTTCTTACAATAGCGCCAATATCTCATGTCAGCAAGTTAACCCTTCTTGAAGTTGCCATCAAAACGGTTCTATACTTTATTGTCTGATATTCCAGGAAAATATGTAATTTTAAATTTGTATAGATTCAGCGTTTGTAAAAAAAAGCAAACAACAACCCAAAAATAAAACAACCCAACAACAAAGAAACAAAGAAGAAGAAAATTGCATTTATCGCTAAAGCCCACATTTTCAGGTTATTCGTTCTCATTTTCTAAAATCACCTATAGAAATAACTGGAAGGCTAAAAGAAATAGTACACTGATATAAATATACAGTATTCCTGGAATTGATAAGTTAAAATAGTGACTTTTCTGGTACCTAGTAAAGACTACAGATTAAATTCAGCCCTGTTTCCTCGGTACCATAACAATAATTTCCAAGTGGAAACGAAGTTAATATTTCACACGGTTCAACATGAAAAAAAATCCATTATGTAAAGACTTGGCGCCGGCACGTATACGTTTTTATAAATTCGAAAAAAGTGAAATCATTACAATACAGGGAGCAGATTGAATTTGAGTTGAGCAAAGAATATTTTAAAAGTGGCGTCTTTTCGGAAGAGTCTAGAATGCAATGCCAAAATCTGGGGGAACAATAAAGAAAGAACATCCTAACACAATACAACCAAAGACATAAAATGAAGGTAGAGAAAAGGAGAAAGGAAAAGAATAAAAGGAGGAGTGTGGGGGGGGGGGTGAATTTGTGAGCCTAATTTTGAAAGCCTAATCAAATTCCTTTGTCTTTTAGACATTCCTGACTGTCTTTGCTAGGCTGGGGAGTTTAATGGAATCCTCTACATAAGCCAAACGTGCGTACTATCAACACGCGTCACTATAAGCTGTCTTGACGACGTATTTCACATCAGTGATCGAAAGCACTTCTCGACAAATTACATCAGAAGAACACCGCTTAAATGTTTAAAACCGTCGTTTATCTATCACAACGAATAAAAATCAACACGCGTGATCAAGAAATAACGAGCACTTCTTTTGTCGACAGATCGCACTTATTCCTTCACGAATGTCCCGAGCCAGCAGAAAACGACACACTACGCCGCACACACAGGCCCATGTAGGTGCCCCTGGTATACTATACATTAAGAAATCACACGCGTAATCTCTCTTAGGGCTCCATAAGAAGCTTAGAGTGTCGGGCGAATGATCAAGTGCAGCATTGATCACAGGTTCCAACCGTTTATCCACGCCATAGTCTATCATTAGAAAGTCGAGCAAAGGAACAACATAATATGAGAGAGGGAGAGAGAAAGAGAGAGAGAGAGAGAGAGAGAGAGAGAGAGAGAGAGAGAGAGAGAGAGAGAGAGAGAGAGAGAGAGAGAGAGAGAGAGAGAGAGAGAGAGAGAGAAGATTGGAGAGAATAAAAGCTACCTTGCTAGTTAATAATTCCAATCAAGAATTTTAAGCTACTCAGATTCACGGGCACAGCAACTCAAGAAAACAGAAACACTTTTTTCCCGATACATTAGAGCAGTGAGCACTGGCAATCAAACCAGTCAGCAAAACGATATAAGAGCGACACGACTGAGTTAACGTCGGGTATCGCTGCAGAGAAGTAGAGGAAATCCTCTGGCCTTTTCATATCGTTGTGGAGGTTATTCACGACAAAGACTTTCTTCAGTGAACGTAAACACGTAGACGTACACAGCAGGCTAAGGTAAAGCAAAAGAAACCCCAACGAAATCAAATAGTGTACATGTTTATGCATACTTTGAATAAACTAAAACAACAACACCCCCCCCGAATAAAAACCAAAACAACCAAAAGCATTACCATAACAAGAAAATGAAAAAAAAATTCCATCCATTCAGACTATAGTTTCAATCTTGAAACAGTTGCTAAAAATATTCAATGAGCCTAGCCCTGCCTTGCCTCTTTCCTTTAGCTGCATTATCCCTGTTACGGTCCAAGCATACAGCCAGAGAGAGCAAGCACCATAAACTGCAGCTTTCCTTCTTAGTTTTGTTTGGTTCGTCTAGCGAAGGAATTGCGGGTGTGGCTGCATGAATAGGGTATAATAAAATATTCGATTGATCCACAGCAGGTAGCAGGGACCACGCTTAGTGTTGGATTAATTACAAAGTGGTCTGTCAGTGGCTGGAACTATACACCTACACTATAATATCCACCCAGCCGCTACACAGAGGGAAACATATTTGTTTATTTTTCTCTCTGTATTTATCTATCTCTCAGTTTCTCTCTCTACCTCTATCCATCTATCTATCTATCTATCTATCTATCTATCTATCTATCTATCTATCTATCTATCTATCTATCTATCTATCTATCTATCTCCCTACTTCCTTCTCTTTCTTTTTTTTTTTCTCACTACCTCTCACTACGCTCGTGTGCATGTCGTCTAAGTGTACGTGTGTGTGTGTGTGTGTGTGTGTGTGTGTGTGTGTGTGTGTGTGTGTGTGTGTGTGTGTTTGTGTGTGTGTGTGTGTGTGTGTGTATCTGTCTATGAGTATGTGTGTGTGTATGTGTTTATGTGTATGTGTGTATGTGTGTGCATGCGTGTATGTGTGTGCGTGTTTTTGTGTGTGTATGTGTGTGTGTGTGTGTGTGTGTGTGTGTGTGAGTGCCTTTCTCTCTCGCACACAAACATTATACATATTAATGAACATATGAATAGAAATTAATTATTGTTCCACTTATAGCCATTAATCTTTAATCATATTCATAACGTAGACTGACAGCAGCTAATTAAAAAGACAGGAAGCTATAATCTTCAATTAATCAACAGGAAGGGTTTAAATTATCCAAAGTACATTGTAATAAGCTTGTCATAATTGTAAGCTATATTTCATGTTGCAAATCAGTGTCTACTTTAATGCAAATTGTGTATCTGTGATCCTCTAACATGCTCGCGTGTGCAATAACTCACATCTCCAAGCAAAATCAATATCTACAAAATAAACGTTGTCGTATTTTTTTCACTTAGGGTTCAGTTCTTCAAAGCTCATTTTAGCTGGATTTGTAAAAAGCGCTGCAGGGAAGCTGACTCGTATATTTGAAACGTTGCTAAAGAGAGGTACTTTTGTGCGGTCTCTAATAGGTCTGGTGAAATAGTCATTGTAAAGTCTCCGTCCGCATTGTGTGCTTAGGTAGAAGAAATGAGTCAGCTGAGAATAGTATAAGGGTAATAAAATGAGAAATTACTCCGCTAAATGGAGAGAAAAGAGTTCGGGGTATTGTAGAAAGCGAGGAGTTGGGCTTTGGGAATGAATGAGTGTATAGATAGATAGATAGATAGATAGATAGATAGATAGATAGATAGATAGATAGATAGATAGATAGATAGATAGATAGATAGATAGATAGGACGAGAGATTGTGTGTGAGAGAGAAAGAAAGATAAGAGGGGAGAAAGAGGCTGAGATGGACAGAGAGAGGGTTAGAGAGAAAGAGAGAGAGAGAGATAGAGAGAGAGAGAGAGAGAGAGAGAGTGAGGGAGAGAGAGAAAGTTTACTAGAAAGAGAAAGAGAGAGGTGCACTAAAAGGTACACATAAATAATAATACGCTAGAATGAGGTGATGCCACCTTTCTTCAATACTATTGCCCCCTCAAAAATTAAGACTTCACACTCACCATGGTCCCTCCACCTCTATACAGCCCCTTCCATTTGTTACACGCATGTATTCCCCAGCAAGCTTCTTCTCCCTACAATGACGAACCAAGCAACTATTGATGCTTTAGGGGAACATTTGGAACGGGTATGAATACTCAGCCAACAAAGAAAATGAAAAGAAAGCAACAGCAAAAGAAAATTATGGAGTCCTTTGATTTTACTGGAACAACTCAACATACTAATTCGTTCAATAGTAAATAGATACTTGGTGAAAGTAAAAGAAAATGTATATACGTCTAGATAAGTATAGCAAATATGGTTTATTAGACAAATAGAACTGGAGGTGGGGGGAGGGGGGTAGGCAGACACAGTGGTGGTGAAAGAGAGAGGGCTTTGGGGAGAGGGGTAGAAATGCTAAAAGAAATTTTTCTCATATGTCGAACTCCAGTAAATACTGCTAATTATATTATATATCATCAGGAGAAAATAAACGAACCAAAATCAGAACAAAAGCATTACCAAACACCGAACGAAAAGATGATGACGTCAAAGTTAATAATTATTTATTATTGAAAGAAACTGACAGCATTGTAAATCGGCGTACTTCACAGTTGGTCAGTTCATAAGAAAACGTTTCCATTAGAAGTGTTTATCATCAAGCTAATTCCGAGATTTCAAAACGCTCGCTGAGTGCCTGCGTCGACCGTCTCTAGTACAAGCAAACAAAAAACCAAACGGTGAAGGTACTGGGAGAAACTTGTCTTTGAATAGACACGGTTGAGAGCAACACGGGTGATACAAAAGCCTCTTCAGCCAGAGTAGCGACATTCTTTGACCTGACCCTCAAAGGGGTAGCGGAATTCTATAAAGTGAAGTTCAATCGTTGTCTTCTCTCGTCTCTACAAAAACAACAAGCCAATGAAGGTCCGTCTGGTTTGAATGCAGTTACTCGACATGTTATGGCTCGTAGCTTTCATGACAGTTTCATCAGAAACATGAACAGTGTTAAAGTACTCTTAAAACAACGACTAAAGAACCACCCCCTCCCAAACAAACACGCAAACAAAGAAAATACAAACAAACTAAATACTCAAATACAAAGAAAAAAATTGAAGCAAAACTGTACTTAGGAAAAAACAATAGATCTAATAAAAGCATTTTTAGAAAACAGAATAGTTATAATTTTGAAATAAAACTAAAGAGACATATTTATCTTAAGTAACTAAATGCTTAAATTTGTGCTTTACTCCAAATATTGCAAAGATTTAGTTTTGTTCGAACTTGGCATGGAACTAAACAATTTCGGGTTAGTTAAGAGAAGAATTCATTACAAGTAAAATGTCGAATGGTGTCAATTAAGAAGCAAAAAACCCCCAAAACAAACAAAACACGGATGACGTGTTGATGGGTGGGGTGGGAGGGGGGATTAAACATAAAATCCTGTGAAACAATGTACTCATTGTAAATTTTTAATTTTTGTTTTTGTTTTCGAAGTCATACATAGCGAGACTTCTTTAGAATCTTTTCTCCCCGCTCTCCACTCACTTCCCCGCTAATAGCCCGCATCTCCGAGACGTCCACAGTGCATGACAGTCGGAAGAGTTCATTAAGTAAGAGGACGGAAAAAGAAACAAAAAACAAACAAACAAACAAAACAAACCCACAACAAAGTTTTATCTGAAAGCTGATTGGTTCTCGGTTAGAGCTGGAGGCTGGAGATGAGGTCAAGGTCATCAGGGTGTGACGTCGATCGTTAGAGCTCTGAGGACGGTGCGGGAACGAAACAGGTAATGGAAAAGCGATTTCAGAAAGGCGATTATGCTTTGCTTGACATTTTTTTACCGATTTATTACTGGGGGTTATCCAGTGAGCTTTTTATTGTGGCCGTGGTAGACAACTTGGTGACAATTCTTCGTTCTTCACCGGCGTCTGTGATATAACTTTTAGGCGTTTCCATGTCGCACGCAGACAATGCAAGTTCGACTCCCGAGTGAGAAGTTTCTTTTTTCATAAAATCAAATATGTCCGTCGAAAACGTCAGTTGTCCAGATGCTTTATATTATGTCGATGAGGATGTAAGAAACCACCCAGCTGCAATTAAAATTGAAGTTCTACGTAATGTTCGGAAGTCTGTCGGAGACAAACAGACTAATTATAAAAAACAAGTTTAAAAGATAGATGAACTTAATAAAGTGTTTAAAGGCCGCAACAAGACTTCAATGAGTTTCTTTCTTTTCGGCCGCGATGTCCACAATTTAATAGCAAATTGTGGTAAAGAGATGGAAAAACAGCGATGCCTAAGGGCACAGTACACAAAGACTTAAAGCACAGCTATTCTTTTACACTTAGCTACATTTGTTTCTGGCGTGCGTGTACATGTATATGTGTGTGCGTATGTGCGCGTGTGTGTGTGTGCGTGTGCAAGCGCGTGTGTTTGTGTGTGTGGTTGTTTGAAAAAAATGTGGAAAGGGTTCTAGGAGCGATTTGGTGCATCGGCCACGAGCTTGATAACTTGAAATCCCCTCGAATTGCCATTCTTCAATGCTAAGCTTCTCCAAGACTAAAATAACTGACTGCACGGACTTCACTACTTCCTTATTTAGCTCAGAAATGCTCTTACGTCAGAACCAGTAGTGCGATTGGTTCAATAAAGTAATATCCGTTGACATGGGG